ATGTCACTGCTATGCCCCCCCCACTCCTTCGAGATGGTATTGTAGCTGGGTAGTATCGAAATAAAAGGATGCAAAAATAAACCTTTCCGTTTTGTGGGCTCCCTCCTACAAGTGAGAATTCTTCAATGCAGTTTCCCCTTCTCCATACCCCATCCTGCCTACCATCTTCTGAGAATCCCCAGCTTTCTACACTTTTCAGTAGTTTTTTTCGACAATCCCTTCTTTTTTCTCCGCCGCCGGAAAGGACCTTCATATCCCAGTTGAAACATGAAAAACGGAGAAAAGTCAGCATAAGAAAGCGTTTTGGTCGAAGGCAAGTACGACTCTCCTCCGCTCCCTCCGGGAACGGAGTACGCCCCTCCTGCTGAGGTTCATACCCAGCGATTATCCAAGCGTAAAGTGTGCCTGTTCCGATTTGAGACTACCCTAACAGAGGTTATCACAAGGATTTTTATTGATTCCTCTTTCTCATGACTACATGATCCAATTCAGTTGCGACTATGGGACTCGACGCAACACGTCGAGGCTACAATTATACAGTCATTCTCTACTATGTTATTGTAGAGAGGATTGAGCATAATTAAATTTCATGCACGGGTCAGTGATCGCCGAGGGCTGGCCTGACTCGGCCGATAAGGTGCGCCGCGTGGCCGAAAATCGGAAGCGAGTAAGCGCTCTGATGATGGAGAGCCCAAACACCGGCAAATGTCGGCCGATACATATGCCCGAGTTATTAACTACTTAGTGCTTTTAGATTGACCATACGGTGTTCGGAGCACTATACCGAGATGAGATTATGGTAGTCCAGGAGATTTAGGCGAACCCTAAGAAAAATTCGGACAAAAATCGGCAAATTTTTGCGGGCTTTACCGAAATAACTACGGCAGCTACACGGTTTACTTCATCCCGCATCCCGCATGAGCTGGAGACAAGAAGAGCGAACCCAAAGAATTCAACCACTGGTGATTTGAGATTCTCACGGTTTTCGGAGACATCAATAGGCCGAACCAACCAGTGGAGAAATCAATAATCGTGCAGATAAGTGATATTGATTATCACAAGACTTCGATTATCATGGCAAGGAAATGTTCAGTTAAATTGTTGCTCGCGGGTGATCGAACCACTGGTTCTGCCACAAAAGGTATTCTACTGGTAACTACGGGTCAGTAAAACTCAGCCGATAACAGCTTATGTATCTTTCTATGCACGGTTCCTTCTTGCAGGTTCACCACCGTGATAGCAAGAGAAATCTCCACGGCTTAACCCATGAGAGTCAGGTTTGAAAGTAAGAACTCGTGAAAAAGAGGAAGTTCCCGAATATTCTCTTCCATTGCAAATTATCAAAAATATTACTGCTAGGGGGCCAAAAATTTCACTGAAACGCGGCTCAAGCTCTGGACCAAAAGCTACTCGGTGAGCTCTTTCTCTAGTCAATTCGTGCAATCAGCTTGGCGATGTTTGGCATGTGGTAAGGCGCATTTTTCTTGCTTTTTCTTTTACCAGTACCTATTAACTTATGCGTCTCACTTTAGTGAGACTTGTAGATTCCCGTCAAGTTATAGAAGAAGGACGTGCAAATGCACAGCCTTACAGGAACTCAAAAGTCTCCACAGGAGGTACTGGCAGTGATCGATGAGAACCAGAAAAATGTCCCCCCCAAGCCGAACAGCACGTCAGCTTTCAAACAGTTGCTCTATAGCTACAAGATCTTTTCTTGAATTCGTATCGATGTCATGTCGAACAATACCCGATTACGGTTACGTCAATGTGGCAAAGAACAATCTGTATAGGGTAAAGAGTAAAAGGCGCCGACATGGAATTAGCATAATTCTGGCATTAGCCATCTCAGCAGCTCTACGGATCCCATATGGGATATGTGGGGGGTACGTGAGACAGGGACGATGAACGACGTACGTCAAATTCACAACGGGGTATCATTCGCTTAGCCCTTTTAGGTCTTCAATATTACGCAACTCTTGACGAATCCTTAGCCACCAAATGTGCCCAACATTTGTGGACACTTGAACGTGCAGGAATCTACCCAGTCACTTGAGATGGATACCCAGTGAATTAGAAGCGCTATAATAGACACCCAGCGAATGAGAAGCGCTATACTCAGTGATTAAGGGCTAGAACCCCCGTTAGCGATCCATGACCGCTGCCAACCTGCGCATATGCAATTGTCTGCCGGAGTGCTTCGCCTATAATGCCCACCGGTGTTTCCTGAGTGAATGTGTGCATGTAGGTGTGAAATCGGTCACCATCCCTCGAACAGAATTATTACTATTCACCTCTCGAGACAGCCAGCCAGCGCCTACCTATGCGGCTCGGGTTCCGATGAAAGATCAACTTTGGATGGGCAAAAATCGCCTAAACAGCTTTGTTTCTCATCAAAATTGCCCGACAGGGTTGGCCTATTTTGGAAATTCTTTGGGAATCCCCGAAGTAATACTATAGCCCACGGAGGAACTGGGACTAATCCCCGTCATAGTAGCGTTTGACGACATTCAAAAAGTTCATCGTCGATCGTGTTCTCACTCTTTCGCGACCCGTTACCTGAAAGAGTCACGAACGTGTTCGTCCTCGTCTGCAACAATAACCGTTCACTTTTATGGGATATCTGTCTGTGGCCCGTGTGTGTGTCTGTGGTCGGTGGTTGAGGTCGCAGCGCTAAGTGATGGCGCGTGACGTGCTCGTCATTTCAATAGAAACTATCTGATCACCAGTAAACGTGGAAAATTCCAGGAAATTTTTCAACGAGAAAAAAATTCTTCCAGAAAAAGCTGTGCATGGAATGTATAGAATGATAAATAGGGGGGTCAGCAACATAGCAACGTTCAGGTTCTTGTGATAGCTTGAGCCCGTCTCGTGCCAGCTCTCATGTAAATGCATTCGGCACACCTCTCATTATTCATAATTTCGTAGAAATGGATCGATGAGACTGGCACAATGAGATAACTGGATGTGTGTGTGTAGACGATGCAATTCAACCGCGCCCGGCTATCTGCAGTTGACACTCGCGGCGCCCCCGTTGATACAGTAAACCCCACGATGTGTCGTGATTACGAACAAGCGCTAGAGCGCTATACGCGAGTAACGGAATTTCAAGCTCATCATTAAAGCAACACCTCGGACCTGTCGCATCATATCGACGACATCAAACAAAAATCAATAAAATACCAGCTCTATCAAAAAAGGTTATAATATTCAAATGAAAAATCGATAAAAGAACAGTAAAGCAAAATCACCATCAAAGGTAGAAGAGTGATGCCCTTTCGGGGGTAGGAGAAGAGCGTCGGTGTCACTTCTAAGGCTGCTGGCTGGAATGTCAAATACGAAAGTGGTATTGGGTCTATGGCAGTGTGAGGAAAACAGCAGCCAAAATAGCAGAGATGCCTCAATGCCTCGAAAATTCGCCTCCTCCGACCACCGAAAGGAGTGAATAAACG